CTGTGCGAGCAGAAGGCAGAACTGCAGCCCTTGGCTGAAGGGAGCTTATAGTTTCAGGTCAGGAGGGAGGGACGTGCCTGTGTGCAGGAGCAGTAGGAGACAGTGGGACCCTCTGGGTCGCTGTGACAGAAGCCAGTTGTTCCCAGATGCTTGGCAAAGGAGATCTTGAAGAAGAGATTTGAAGTAGAACAGCCTGCTAATATTTGTCAAAAAAAAAAAAAATCTGCCCTCCCAGCACACACTTTCTCAAATACATAACAAGGAAGCAGTGGAGCCTGTTTTCATTCCTTGGATGGAGAGGAAACCTTTATATCATTGGAGGCAATGCTGGGGGGCAAGTGGAGGGAGGCGAGAACAGGCTTTGAAAGTGAAGAGGTTTTGGTGTAGTGGGAAAGTGGAGGGATGATGAGAGGTGATGTGGTTGTAGCTGTTGCTTAGAAAAATGGTCCCTGTGGCAGCACAAAGGGTGGATAAATGAGTAAAATATTATTTTAATATATTATTATTATTATTATTAATAATAATAATAATAATAAAATATTTCAAGATAAGTAAGTGTTTGGAAATTAGTGTTTTCCCCATTACTAGAAGTGTTCAAGGCCAGGCTGGATGGGGCTTTGAACAACCTGGTTTAGTGGAAGGTGTCCCTGCCCATGGCCAGGTGGTTGGAACGAGATGGTCTTTAAGGTCTCTTCCAACCCAAACCTTTGATTCAATGAAAACCAGAGGATGATGTTGAAGGATGACAATTTTATTTGTGTTAGAAGACAAGAAATACTGTATTATACAGAGACATGAAGCAGGAGAAGTTGGTGAGGTATTGTGAAGATTTAACGCTTAAAGCCTGAGAGAGCTTTATGAAAGTTATGGAGCTGAGTGGAACGGGGTCAGGTTGTGTCAGGCTGGGACATGGGCTGTGCAGAAGAAGGGCTGTGGGGGAAGCTTGGGCTCATCATACTACCCGTGGGCTGGTCATCATCCCCAGCCCAGATATGAGAGGAGAGACTGGGTTCAGCCTGTGCAGGAAGATAATCTGTGACGATAGGGCACATCTCTGAGTACTTGGCAGGAAGCTTTAGGGTTAGAAACAGAAAAGTTGTAAGCTACTAAAAGATAAGATTCAGAGTAACATCATGAAGGAAGAAAGAAAAGCTTGTGGTGCTCACAGGGTATTTATGGAGGTTTGAGGGGGTAAGGAATCACAGCCAGGATGGGACAAGATTTTAAAGCTAGAAAGCTGCTCTTGTAGACTTGGACAAAAGGAATTCAGGTGACTGCAGAGGGCAGAAACTAGACAGTTCTTTATTTCACCAGACTGGCTCCCTAAGGAGCAGCTCTTATACAGCTGTCAAAGCTGTGGGACTGGTCAGGAGCTCTTCATTCTGTGCCTCGTATTGCTTGGGTCACTTTGCAAAGTCCCTTCATTGGGCAGGTACAGACTTGTAGGGTGCTTCATCTCCTAGACTTTATTTGCGCCCACTTTTAAGTTATCCTACAGCCCTCTGTCTCCTTCAGGTGACAAAAAAGTCTGACCCTTTGATTTTGCATAAATGGACATAATTCATCATCAGGAATCATCTGGCTAGGGAGAGATATTCCTTTCTCTGGTTTCTCTGGGAGTCTGTGTGAGTTGTAATTTTCTTGGTCTCCTGATTCTGTGGAGGCAGTTGGTGGTGGCTGCAGGGATTCAGGTAGTTTCTGGTGTCTTGCAGACATTCCACTCTTGGGAGCATTCCCTGCCCAGAGCAGCGTGGCAGCCTGAGGGTGCTGCTGCAGGACCCAGCCAGCTGGCTGGGACACCTTACAGCCAGTGTGCCCTTGGGTCTGGGCCCTCAGGTGAGGATTTCAGAACCCCTTCCTTTGTTTTCTGGGGCTTTTCTCTCCGAATTTCTCAGCAATAACTGTGAAGGGTTAATGATCACACTGTTAGTCATCAGTCCCTTATCAGTACCAGTTTGGGCTGCAAGTGTGCAGTTGTTCCACTATCTTCCCTCAGCCCAGGAAAGAAGCTAAGCTCTTTACCCTGGTGTGTGGCTAGGCTCGGGAAAGTGAGGAAACTTGAGTCATGATGTATTGTTAATAAAAATGTTGCAAAAATTTCCAGTTTCCCCTGCTCAATATTGTAACAAATACACAAGTGTGTGAGAAACTGCACCTAAACCACAGTGGTTTTGATATGGGATTGCCCAGAGTTCTCTGTAGTTAAGCATGTTTGTCTCTCACTCTAGGAGTGGGACTGATAAAGCAAGTTTTTGTGTGTAATATCCTGACAAGGATTCTGTATGGGTAAGTAAGTTGCTGTGAACTTACTTTGCAGAAGACTATATCAAAATATAGAAGTTAGTTACTATTATTATACAAAGCCACCTAGTAAGTAACCAAACCTCAAGGTTGGGAACCATCTGCAAAGCAGTTTTTCCCAAAGTAGGTGCTGTGAGACATGAAGTGGTGAAGTGGTCAGACTTGTGCTAAGTCTTGGTTCACAGTCTTGTCTGCTATATTCTTGTGCTTGAAACTGGAATGTGGCCCTTTGAAAGAAACAAAAAAATGCTGTGGCTGCCTGGCTGTGCAGCATGCTTAGGCAGAGCAGCACAGCTTTCCACTGCCTGCTGCCTTTGGAGAAGGGGCCATGGGATGTCACCTGGTTCTTACCTCTCTAAATCTCCAGCCTGTCCTCATGGGAGGGACTTTTTAAGAACACATCCTTTCTCCTGTTGAATTTTTTTTCTTTTTAAGAAAAGAAAATGGTAACAATCTTTGCTGTCACCACTTTCCCAACAGCAAGTTTATGGGGTCCCCGATAGCATCTGGGTTTTTACATTAGAAGTTACATTTTCACTGACAGCTGTGGCTACAAAAATATGTGTCTGCATGTCATCAGACACATGTATGTGTTAAAAAAAAATGAGCTCATCCTAGTAATTCAGATGAATAACCGTTGAGTTGATTCACAGATTTCTGTATAATTGCTGATAAAGTTCTTTATTAAGGCTGAGTCAAAGGGTCTGGGCATGGAAAATTAAAACCAAGAATCTCTTGTGCCTTAAACAGATATTCATGGTCAAACCAACTGAATGGTCAAATCACCTGAAGTCCTGAATAGTGTGTCCCCTATAGGACAGAGAAAGAGATGTGAATTTGAAAGCCCCAAAGACCTAGTTCTGCAATATTTGTAATGGCCAATTATTTGTTAGGAAAAGTGAGGACTTACTTTGGCTTCAGTACACTAAAAGATAAAAAATTAAAGCTTATTAGTTATCTGGCTCTGTCCCTTACCGTTTTCGGGGGGTTTTCCAGTAACTTTTGTTTCTTTATTTTATTTTTCTGTCTCTTCCTTCATTCTGTTTCCTAAATGCTGTTGCTGTCTGTCTTTTCACTCAAGTTCATCCCCTTGAGTTTGGTTGAAACTCAGTCAGGGTTTCAGCACTCTTGGTGCTGGAGGAGGAGGTCAAGGGCTGCCCATGAACAGTAACACTGGCCCACTGCTCTCTACTCATCTGCAGAGTCAAACAGTTTAAAATTAAGATCCTGCTCCCACTCAACTTCTCCATTTGGGGTTTCCCCCAAAGCTTCCCAGAAGCAGATGGCACTTCCTGGAGCCAAGCTCGTAAAGCACTACACTTTCTGCAGCGCTGTCTCCTCCCGACAAATCCAGCTGGATGTGCCCTTGCCTCAGAGCTGCCAGGCTCAAGGAAAGCCTGTGTACAAGCTGTTGTGCTGTTCTGGTGTCAGCCTGCTCAGAGGTGGTGTGTGGTCTACAGCTTGACAAGGAAGCAACCTGAGGACAGGTGCTGATGGCAGGGACAAAAAGGCACCTTCTGGGTTCAAAAGCTTGACTGTAGAAGGGAGCATAAGCTGTGCTGAAATGAAATGTGTGAGAAATGCAACTCAAATCAGTTTAATTGATCCCAAAAAGAAGTAGCATGCCTGCAAATTGGTGCCTTTCTCTTTGCCACTGACTTCATGACGCAATGATTTGTCTGTTCAAGAGCTTCATGGAAGGTCTAGGAGAAGATGCTCTAGGTTGAGATACCTCCTGGGATGGGGGATGGAGATTGAAATGTGTTAGAAATGCTTTGGGAGAAAGTTCAGTTAAAAGGAAAAGGCAAGAGGGTGTATGTTGCATTAAGTACAAAAGAGAATAGAAACTTTCTTTGGAAAATTAGTATTTTAAATAACAGGAGACTTAAAAATTATTGCTTTCAGAGAAAATACAATAGCTTACTTTAGGAAAGGAAGGAAAAAAAAATGAAAACAAGAGACCAGAAAGCAAAGGAAGAGGGCAGAGGAGGATAAAGAAAGAGTGGGCGTAGAGATGGAGCCTAAGGCACTGCCATAAAGGCAGCACATTTTGGACTGGGCAGGGAGGCTGCCAAGAATCCTGTGTGCACAAGTTCAGACTAGAAAACCATAAGGGTTTATGGCCACTGAAGTTATTGCAAAACCATACAAAATGTTTATTTTCTTAAAGTGGATTTTATTTCCATGTAAGAGCTCTGTTTGAGTGTGACATGCCTGTGCAGCCTGTGACATGAGCTGATGTGACTGAGCCAGTGCTGCTTCCTCTGTGAGTTGCCACTTCACTTCCTGCAATGCGTGGGTTCACCTGGGTTTGCCGAGGCCACTGTGGAGGGCTTCACAGGATTGGACCTGGGTGTTTCTTATGTCCTTGTGTGTTTCCTGCTGTCCTTGTACTCTTTCTTTGATCACATCACTCACCAGTTCTGTGGAAGGTGAAATCTACTCTGAATCTTGGATTCCAGCTGTGAGAAACGTCCTTGGTAATCCTGTGTTGCTCCAGATGGTAAAATCTGCAGTCCTACATCATTGCAGGAAGATGAAATACATTTCAGTGGCTTGCCTTTTATCCTAACACTTCTAAAACATTTTTATACGTGATCTTTTCAAAGCTACTTTGGGGGATTTCCACTCCCTTGCCGTTTTAAAATGCTCGTACTTCTGTGTTAACCACAAAGCTCATGCTGGTACACTCTGTCTCTGTCTCTCTCTCATTTTCTCCCCATCGAGGACCAGCTACAGTTTCCAGGTATGGCTTTACCAAAACGTGTCTTGTTAACACTGGCAGGAGCTTAACTTTGCCAGAATTATTTCTCATTTCTGAAGGGCTATTCAAGGGCTTGGCACACAGGGGTTGGGGAAGGCTGCAGACCCAAAAACATCTCAGGAAACAAGTTCACCCCCTGAACCAGCAAAGCGGTGCCGTGATGTTGTAGGGGTGAGAGGCAGAACCTTCCTACTGAGATTTCTGTTGGTTCTTGGGAAGGTGATAAAACATTCAGGGATTGCCACAGAAGTGATGGCAACAAGGTTATTTTCCAGCTGCGAATGAGGTTATTTTAAGACATAACAACATCGTGTTGATTAGAAATAGATTTCTTGACATTGCAAAATTAATTAATTAATTATTTTTAGAACCTCCAGGGAAAACAGTAGCTGTAGCAAATAAGTAAACTGACTGTAAAATCAAAGCTGCTTTAGCACCAGACACACTTTATTAGTTGTAAGAGTGTAGTTTTAATTTTTTTTTTTAAATGCTGTGTTGTAACCTGAGTCTTAAAACCCAATGAAGCCTAGTCTTATGGGAATTAACTGTAATGCTTGACTGTACCTCTATGCAAAGGAAACCCCACTGTCGTACTCTGCTTAGTGAAAATTTGCCTATGGAGATGAGCAAACTGATGCTTGCTTAGTAAGGTTTTACTGTGCCTTGAGGATGAGGTAATATTACAGTTGAAACTTCGATAGTATAGTGGTGTCTATATACAAAAGGAAATGTTTATTTGGCTGTCCTCTGCAGCAGCATCTCCTGTGGTGCGGGGGGGCTCAGGCACATATCCAATAAGAAATTGTTGCTGTTAGGAGCACTCTCTCCTGGGTACCAGCAGGTCACTGCCCTGCAGCTTTTAAGTGATGAGGACATCATCAGAGCAGTTCCTGAGGTGACCCTGAGTGTTAGCAGTGGGTCTGTGTTGGTGCAACAAGGGATCCTTTCCCTCCTCAGCCTCTGTGCTGGAGGGACACACATGATGCAGCCAGGGTCCTTCTCCCACATGGGGAATGTGTTTTGTTGTCAGCAGCCAAAATGTTTTAACTCTTCTTTGGGCTGGAAGGGACAGGGATGATCCCCCAATGATGTCAGATGTCATCATCTCCTGTTTTCATATTATTCCATGTAACTTGCTGTATCTTAAATATGTATCTCAAACTATAGTATAAACTAAAGCATAGATACTTTCAGTCATTCTTTAGCAAACTGTTATCTCTTCCACTCTGTGTGTTGAGTTGGGGCATATATTTCTTGTCCCCACAATAGTGAGGTTTTGGAGGGCCTTAGAGTAGTAAATCATACATTTGTTATTTTCATTCAAAGTACTGGAGGCAGCTAATCTGTTTATAAATTGAATAGTTTATACGGCAGCTTGGAGAGGGTTGTTTTAATGCAAGATGCGTTCACCTCCATCCCATTTCTGCCTGTTACCTCCCAGTGAAGTGACTTAGACCTCCAAATTTGACAAAACTTTTCCCACTGTGACTAAGACAGTTCTGATCTACCATAAAAGGTTGATAATTTTAGAGGGAGGGACAGGGCATCTTCCAAGTCTTGTCCCAACCAATGTCTTAGGGCAAAGCAACAGAAAGGTAGGTGCATAACTTTTTTTTTGTGCCCTGTTGTATGTATGACATGGAAGCTGGTAAGTGAGGAAGGTGCTTTTTGCTGGGAATACCCCAGTCCTGGAGAGTGGCTGAGCATCACCCTCCCCTCATGCAGTGAAACCTGGCAGAAGCTGGGCTCTCAGCCCCATTTGCTGGCTGGATCCTGTCTTGTCCATGTGTGATGATCAGATCTGTGATAATATCCTGGATATTTTCTCTTCTCAGTCTGAGACATGGTGGCACCCAGTGCCTGTGCCTGGCTCTGCTGTCCTGGAAGTTTTGGCTGTAATGGTGCACTCACAGCTCATGGGATAATGTGCTAACCTTTCAGGAGGGCTTGGCTTCATATGAGAGAAAACAGGAAAAACAGGGTCTCTTTAAAAAAAGCAACCGTATTATAAGGAATGGTTTTTCCTGTGTGCAGAAAGTATGTTTTTATGGCTGGAAGAAGTTAATCTGTCCACAGTAGTTCAATGTGATATCAAGGTTCCACACAGCCTCTTGTCATTCCGACTGCTGGTGCTGTAGATAGAGAGCAGCAGTGCTGGAGGGGAGCTGTTTCAACATGGCTTTAAAATGTTGATGCAATTTTATATTCTAGTAAGTCATGCCCATGCTGATTTTTCTCCTTATTATTACATTCTCCTCAGTTTCTGAAAAAGAAGCAGTTCTAAGTGTGGAACATTTTACTGGAAAATGTTTTGGCTCAGTTTGGTGTGGTGGTAGTTAAAACAGGATAGCTCACAATTTATAAAGTTTATTTTTGTTAAGAAAATTCTCCCACTTGGATTATTTCCAGTGAGGTTAAGGCATCTGCATAGAAAGAGTTGTTCCAGAAGCATTTTGCTTGTGCAACTTGTGGTGCAGGCAGGGCTGGGATGCTGAAGTAGTGGGAAGATGCAGCTGGGAGCTCTTTGTACTGCACTGCCTTTGAGCTCCCACTCACTGATAGCTGTTAATAGGACTTGGACTTAGCTTCTAGTGATTCACACTACTTTTTTTATGTGTGGGCAGAATTAATCCTATTTATTTCAGTACAGGGAAATCCTTTTTTTTTTTTTTAATGTGTAGATTTTCAGTCTCCATAGATTGGGGGGTTTTGTGTGTGTGCCGTTGCAGTGGAGTTGCAGTGAGAATCCCTTTACAGTGTGCACTGTGTCTGACACAAGAGCATCATTATGCAGCACGAGCCTGCCGCTCTCTGCTATTTTAAACCAGCATTACAATTCACACGTGTGCTGAAAAATTGCAGTGTACACAAAGGCAGGAGGACACCTTCCCCTTGCTGGAAGCTGTGAGCAGACAGAAGTGAAAGCTACCTCAGGCCCTGCCTACGCTGGCCAGGCATCAGCGTAGGCAGGAAATTGATTCAGATAACCCTTGGGGTGCTCTCACTGTCATAAAACAGCACTTTTTCCCCTGATGGTTTCCCTTTGGCTTCAGTTCAGAGAGCCCGTGTGCTGGAAGCCAGAAGCGGGAGCAATGCTGCTGCAAGCCACCCTGAGTCTCTGGTGAGTGCTGGGATGGGAATTACACGCTGCCTGGGCTGGTTTGGATCGCATCCCACCGAGTGCTGGCTGGCACAGGGCTGCTGTTTCTCAGCTCCTCTGAGTCTCCCCAGCTGACTGACACGGGCACCTCTCCAACTTGAGCAAAGCACTGCCATCCCCAGGCCGCCTCCTGGGGCAGCCCATTTCTTCCAGCAGAACAGCTGCAAGCCCTGCAGCAAAGCTCCTGCAAGGCTGGCAGCAGCAGTGAGCTCCCTCATCCTCTGGGCACCCAGAGGTTTCCGCTCTGCCCTCTGAGCAGGCAGCCTCTCCTTTCCCTGGGATGCTCTTTCCTGTGCCCTGCAATACTATCCTGGGCGAGGCTGAGGTGGAGGAGGCGCGTTCATGGAGATGCCAAGAGTCTCCATTTTTAGGAGTGGGATCTGGTTGGGTGCATTATGAAGGTGTTTAAAGAGATACAGGCTCTCATTTCAGCAAGAGAGCTGGAAGGTGGTGTACCACAGCAGAGTGCTCCTTGGAGAAAGAAATGGGAGTGATTTTGGTTGATTTAATGAGCAGTGAGAGCTCTGGAGGAGTTTCTGGACGGGATTTTGGGCTGCTGACTGTTTCTTTTTAATGTGTCCCATAAGTTTTTTGCCTAAAACGTGTCACTCCAGCTGGAGTTGCTGGAGTTAAGAGAGATCCCTAAAGGCAAAATGGGTAAAACATAGAATTTTTTTTGTTGGTGGTTTTATTTTTAGTGTGTTTTTACACAGTGTGGCATTAGCTTGCTAAACCATACCATTAGATGATTTAAGTGCTGGAGCATGATAGGACTGGGGAAATTGGATGCCAAGTAAATGGGAGAGAGAGCAGTAAAAAAAGAGAGGAAAGAAACTTGTTTCACAGTTGTCACTGACTGACAGCAGAGTTCTTAGGCAGTTCATCCCGTGGATGGTCCATGCTCTGGAAATTAATGGTGATGGCTCTCCATCTGCCTTAGAAGCAGCAGGCACATTCTGCTGCTGGCATCTGCTACCGAGGCATGAAACTGGTAATCCCTCAGGCTGCATTTTGTCATCTCTGGTTGACGGGAGGAAAATAGAATTGCTTCTTATTAGGTGCCAGGGAAACAGGAACCCCATTTTCAGAGGAGGAAAGATGTTTAAAAATGAAAGAAGCAAATGGACAACCACGTCTGGTTTGAAGCAGAAGGCTGTTCATTTGGAGGGACCAAACAGGGTAATTTGCAAACTCCTGTAGGAATAATAAGTCTTTAATGGCTGGAATATGATTACGGCTCATATTCCTGAGGGCTACCGGTGTTAGATGATCAGTTGTGCTGGAGTATGTCAGACATTCAGCCTGGTGAAAGGCAGGGAGCCTGCTGAAAGGCTCACAAGCTGGGGAGGTGAATACTGTGTGTAACCACTAACAAGGGTGCTGAGTTGCAGGAGCACTTAAATGTTGGCTGTGGAATACATTTTAATTGGTTAAGTGCTTTGGTGTGTTTTTGAATCAGGCACATTATCTGTCTGCAGGATTTCCTCACCCAGTATGGATTGTTAAAGTAGAAAGGAAAATGGATGTTCTCTGAAGCCCGAGGTGCTGTGTGGCAGCTCACTAATTGCTGCTTTCCTGGGCCAGGAGGGGCTGCAGCAGGGAGGGAGTGTGGGAGGGTGGGCAGAGTGTCAGCACTGGGCACACTGTTTCGTGCCAGGCACAAGGTTGTTAATGGTGATGTGCTGGCCCTGCTTCCCTCCAAAAGCAGCAACTGCCCTCAGTGACCTTACAGGAGATGAGTGAGAGCTCTCAGAGAGATTCTGATGCCAGTAAGAGTAACTCCAGTGACTGACAGGGCAGGTGGTGCACACAGAAGGAAAATAGCATCACCATAGCACAGCTGTAAAACTGAGCTTATGAAATGGTCTGGGAGCTCAGGTGTGTTGTGCTTTCATACAGTCCTGTAAGGAAAAAGTCCTCTGAGTGCAAAGCTGCAAGAAATGCCAACCAGAGTGGCTCCAGGGCTTGAGCTCCTTGCAAAAAAAAAAAAATAGCTGCAAGGTTGAGGGACTGGTGGCAAATCTCAAGGTCTCAAGGTTTGTGACTTAAGGCTTGGAACAAATGTTGATGCTTTTTCCTATTGCAAAATTAACGTTGCATTCCTGTGCTGTGTATGTTATGGTAGGTTGAAAGAAAAACTTATGTCACACTTCTGATTGCAACTCTGCTTTTCTTCTTTTCCCACCACTTCTTTCAGACAGAAATAATACAGCCAAAAACTTGCACATAATTAAGTAAAATAAGAGTTTACTGCTAGAAATGAATGATCAACAAGAAAAAGAAAGGTGTCAAATTAAGAGGCTTCAACTCCTGTAACACCTAAACTGAAGGTAAAATCTCCCTGCTGCCTTTTTTTTTTGTATGCTCCTTGCTGTGAACCACAAAGCCATCTCCTGCTTGAACCAGTGCAGTGAATTTATAATTCATGTGGGAGACCTCTACTTTAAGTGGAGATTTTCCTGGTGAACATTAAGGCCAAAACTTGGCCTCTGCTTTCCCCAGCTGTGTCTGAGACTCTTTTGAGGCTCTTAAGTTTTTTAAGACTAAGAACTGCTGCAAGAAAAGAAAACAAAAAAAAAATCAAAAACCAACCAAACCATAAAAATCTCAATTCTGTGTAATAATTTTCAGATTGTGAAGCTCTTTTCCAAAGAAGTGTGCTTTGATGCTTGTAGCATAAACTTTGCTTTGTGGTTCTGTGAGTGTTTCATTGTTCTTCCATAGCTGGCACCATGTTTCCCTCTGAAACCTGTCTCCCCGCTGCAGATGAGAGCCCTCCTGCCAGCAGCAGCCTGCTGCACGCAGTAGCCGAGGCAGAGTCGCTGCCAGGGAGTATTTGAAGAGCTTCTCCTTGTGTCTACTTCGCTTCCCAGTGCAGCTCCCATGGCCTGTGACGAACCCGCTGCTCTCTTGGGCATCTTCACGCGCCAGAACTCCTCCAACACCAACTCTTTGGACTTTGAGCCTGACACCGACTACAAGTTTGTGGAAAGCCTGGAGGAGCGGTACAAGTGCGCCTACTGCCACCTGGTCCTGCGCAATCCCCACCAGACGGGATGCGGGCACCGCTTCTGCCAGCAGTGCATTCTTGCTCTGAGGTGAGAGCAGACTCCTCCTGTGTCTGCAAGCTCCCCTTGTTCCCTTTCCTAAAAAAAAACCCCACATCTTCTGTAAATCAGCATAGTGCCGTAGTAATATTACCGACCCAGTAAGAGGCTGCAGGAGTCAATGGAAGGGCTCTGTTGAACCCAGTGACTGCATGCTCAGTGTTTTAAAGGTGTTTCTAAAGACCTTACCTGGTGCTGGTGAACCACAGGGGAGTCAGCGTAAAGAAACTGTTGATGTAAGCTGATAGTGCTGTGTGAGAAGCTGCTGTGGTCTCTCTGCCATTGTGCTCCTCAGAGGAATTTGCTGCGTTGATGTCTCTCGGTTTTGGTGCTGGTGGTTAGATTAGACTGTGTTCATCTGCTTCGGTATAATTCCTCTGAATTTAGCAGCATTATAAGACTGATGTTAATGTTACCTGATGCTGCAGTCAGATCACAAGGCTGCTGGCATCCCTTCTGCTTGGTACAAATGAGTTTGCCCCCCAGACTGTCTGGGAATACATTATGGACTCTTTGGTGTACCTGAGGGCAGCATTTCACCTGGAAGGATTGCAGAGGAGCCTCTTCATGTGGATGGATGTCACTAACTACCTTTTGTGAATGCTTCATGTTTGCTGCTTTGTCTCTGGGTTGACTCCTTTTACACTGCCTCTGTGACTGTTTTCCTGCTACCTATTACAGGATTTCTGGAAGCCTTTTAAGAAAGAAGCCATTAGATCTTCTTTTACTGGTGTAGCAAGGAGGGCACTGCTTCTAGTAGACAAAGGCTGGGTTTAAAGCACACAGTGAGATTTTTTGAGATACGACATTTGTGAGCTGCAGATGGTCAGAGAGTGACAAAGTCCTCTTAATTAAAAAACATCTTGTGGTTTTTACCATTGAACACTCTTAGGGCAAACTCTGCTTTCTGTTACGTGTTCATGGTTGCTGCTTTATGCTCTCTTTGAGCTGTGGGCAGAATTTGGCTGTGTAGTTGCCAGATGAAAGTGTTTTTAAAGGATTTTTTTTTTTTTGTTTTTATGCTATCTACTGCTGACTTCTGTCAGAGTCAGATTATAGCACAGCCCAATTTAATAAAATAAATTGAATTTCCTGTGGGTTAACACGACTCTTCTTTTGATCTAGAGAGTTAAATGCAGTACCCACCTGTCCTGTCGACAAAGAAACAATAAAAATGCATGAGGTAAGTGGCTGTAGTTTTATTTCAGCAGTCAGCATTTACATGGGAAAGGCAAGACAACTGAGAACAAGGCGGCTTTTAGTCCTCAGGGCAGAGCAGTTTTTTGTCTCTGAAATAACGCTAAAGGAAGAGTGTATTCAGTGATGCTTTCCCAGGAAGGAATTATGGCTGTCTAGATAAAGCTTCATTTTATACCTCATGTTCTGAAGTTATTTCATTTTAGTCTTCTGTATTTCCAGTAAAGTGTTGAAGAATTTCACAAAGCTTGAATCCTCCCAAGTCGGCAGATGTCTGTTTTTTTATGGAGATTTTATTGACTTGCTTTTTAAATGCCCTATCTTGCTGGGATATCTTGTTTATCTGATTGTCTTCATTTTAACTTGGCTATAATTTGCTTTCTTGACTATCTCCATTAGATCACATTAACCCTGAAGACCTCATTTACTTTTGGGTAACTTTTAGAGGAAAAGAAAAGTTCATCCTTTTTATTTTGGAAGCTATTGTTGGTTTTGGTTGTTTTGTTTTATAATGGATTCATTTGTCCTTATTTATATTACAAGGCTTGGAAGTATACTATATACCAGGGAAATCAAATATCTCCTTCTTCTCTCTCCTATTCCTGATAGGAAATTATAATCAGACTGTCCACATGATTTTCATTTTTCATTTGCCATCTTCTACTTGCAAATTTTGATGACAACAATGCAGGAAGATCTCTAAATAAGACAGAGTTTGCTCTGGGGGCTCCGTTTGCTTCTGCATACACAGCTGAGAACGGTGCTGCGTCTCAGATGTGACAGAAAGGATATCTCAGCATCTGAGATATCCTCCATCCCAAAGGCACTGCTTGAGCATAGTGGAGCATGCACAGAGCTGGTTTGGCCTTTAGGGCCTGTTAGCTCCATCTGCTTTCTTTTAGTTACAGCAGGCTCTGGCAGTGGTTATACAGCTCCTGTGCTACTAGTCCTGCTGGCTGTGGGATAGATCAACATCTGTGGAACAACTATGTTGGGGGAAAAAAACCCTGTGCTTACTAGAAATGTCATAAATGGTTTAATTTATAGGTTTAATACCAATTTTTAATATGAATTGTCAAGAGCCATACTCACAATTACGTCATTTACACTTGAACACCTAGAAGATCTGTAGTGATGTTTTGTTCTTTTATATTATTTATAACATCCTGTGTGACTGCATATTAAGGCTGGTTTGCTTACTTTGAAGGTATTCAAAGACAACTGCTGTAAAAGAGAAGTTCTCAACTTGCATGTGTTCTGCAAAAACTTCCCTGACTGCAATTCAAAAATAATTCTGGGACGATATCAGGTTGGTTTGCTTGATCAAATTTTGAAGCTTTTGATTTTCATGACAACTCTGTGTATTTATGATCAGCTAAATTCCCGTGATTGTCTTCAGAGTTATTGTAGCAATGTGGTTTAAGTACAAAGATTATGACAGCTATACACTGCAAGTAGCATATATTACAGCTTTTAGCTTGTTCCAGCTTTGCCTTAGGGTTTTTTTCTTAATAAGAACCATTTGCTTTATGTTGCCTTTGTAAATCACAGTGTCCGTTCATATTCTGAATGCTTAGGTGATTATTGATTTGAGGAAACTGGTCACACTGGCCATTTGGCATTTAATCTGCTGGTGTGTGTTGCAGGAGCATCTGCAGCAGTGTTTGTTTGAAAGCATGCAATGCACTAATGATGGGTGTCGGGATCAAATTCTTCGCAAAGACTTGAAAGAGCACTTGAGCCAGCACTGTAAATTCCGGGAAGAGAGGTGCCAGTACTGTAACACATATGTGGTGTTAATTAACATAAAGGTAAGATTATGAAGCATTCCCAAGAATTCATAGCACCTGTTTCCCCTTGATATTGCTGAGTGAGAAGTTTCCAGCATTGCAATGGCACTTAACTCCTGAAACAAAAGTTGGCTGAATAGCTGAAGGAGAAAATATAATAATTGTGCTTGAAATCATACCAATTATTGATGCTCTCTTATGAACAAGATGATATGTGTCATGCATTTGTATGTTTGGGATTACTTTTTGCATAGCTTCCTCTGTATATACTGCTTTACAAAAATGAATGCCATTGCCTTGTTCTGTTTCTTTTTCTTCAGAACCATGAGAAAAATGACTGTCCTGATTATCCTGTGCCTTGTCTCCAAAACTGTTCACAAATAATTCTGAAAAAAGAGGTACTATTATTTTTTACAGATACTGCAGTTCAGCAGGTCACATATATTTATGAAAACTGAAAGCTATGCTGCAGACCACATTGGCCCATGCCAATAAAATTTCATTGCTCTAAGTGTTTCCTTTGTTCGATCCTAAAAGGGATATATCTCCTATCTTCTAAGTGGATTATTCTGTCGCTGCAAGCCACTGGTGTTTTGCAGCATGGAAAAACACCTGGCTTGCTTATTGATTCTGAGTACTCATTTTCCTGGTAAAGTCATTGGTGGTGTCATGACAGTGGCCTTTATTCACCCTTTTTGCAGGCATTTAGATTTTATTAGTGCTTCAAATTACTAAGTATTTATTTAATCACAAACTGCTTAATACATGCAGATTGAAAAGCACCATGCTGTGTGTCCTGAGGCAGAAGTGGACTGTCCATATAAGCAGTACGGCTGTCATGTAAAGGTACTGTTTTACGGATCTTTGTCTGTACCAGGACTGGACTTTGTCTCCCAAACCAATCAGAATAATTAAAATAACCACTTTATGTTCTTTCATAACCATTTCTGCTGGCTAAGCTGAAACACTAGAGAATCAGGACTGCCCTTTCCTCACTTTCAGGGCATAAAGGAGACATTTTGAATGTTAGCATCATTAAATTTTTTACCAAGAGCTTCAAAAATCTGCTTATCTTACTATTTTATTCTTTCACTTCCCCCCTCTGTCTCAATAAGGTTAAAAGAGGGAAACTTGCTGAACATGAAAACAGTGCCCTGAGGGAACACATGCTGCAGATTTTAGACAAGAACTCCCGACTGGAAGAACAGGTAAGTCATATTTAATGAGAACTCTTCAGCAGTTCTTGACTGGTTAGAGGATGATACGAGATTCTACATTTGTTCCCTGGTTTAGCTCAGCTACATTTTAAATTACTCTTTTTATAGTCTTTCCACACCTCAGAAGACAAAATACGCTCTTCTAGTGAAGTCAGTGAATTACAGGGAAACCTCTCTGTGCTCAGGCATGTATATTCTACACCAGGCACAGTGGGAGGCTCCTCTTGCTATTGCTCACCTCATTTGCTTTCAGTCTCTGTTTTACAGTGGACATGGAGTTTAGAGATAAAGCATTTTAAAATTTCACTGGCTGGCCAGGTTGCTCCAAAAAGCAGCCTTTAGCTGCCTCGGTTGCTGCTCTGTGTGGAAGCAGCACGGAGGACAGCAGCTCTCTGCTCAAGATCACTTCTTTGGCTCCCAGCAGGAGACACTGGGTGTACGCCCAGTGCTGTTAACTGAATGGATCCAAACTGATGGGGGACTTACTTTTCGCTTGTTTATGCAAGAAGTAAGAGCCCCAAACTGCTAAAACTTAGTTTTGAAGTGTGTATCCTTCACTGAATCATCTCTTCTGCTGGTTAGACCTCAGTAAAGGAAAAAAATGCATATACATACACAGAGAAACACACATGCACATGTGCATGTAAGTATATATTGTCCCACTGTAGAGCCAAATGGACCATCATGGATGGGAATGAGAGATAGGAGCCTCTTTGCACCTGGAGCCACATAGATCTGCTCAAAACTTGATTACCTTATGTGCAGTTCTTGCCAGTGCTTATTCACAAACAGTGAATTAAGGAGTGCTCTATCTAGCTCACTTAGAGGATTTGCATTGTAAACTTTTCCACTCTCTTACATAGTCAGATATGTTATCGTTTCTTCATTGTATGTTTTGTTGTTCCTTAGCATTTATACTCTGATTTTTCCATCTGTAGATATCTGACCTCTATAAGAGCCTGGAATGTAAAGAGATTAAAATCCAGCAGCTAGCAGATGCCATTAAGAAGTGTGAGAAAGAATTCAGACAGTATACACAATTGTTTGGTAACAATAGCAACTTGATGGTAAGCACTCAGGTGAGATATTGATTTTACCTTTTTTACCAATTGCTTTCTTGCATCCTGAAATATGTTTCTCCAGTAACAGTTGTCATTAATAGCACAGCCTTCTCAAAGACCTTCTCATTTTTTACGATGTGTTATTATCTTTTCATTTTAATTGATACAGAAGTTTGGATATGTGATCTGAGCAAAAAGCACTGTACAAATCCTTACGGTCAGATGCTCAGGGCAAATGTACAGGTGTAAATTTGAATAATGAGTTGAATGAAGTGGTGCAGTGAGAATGGGTTCTGAATGAGGGATGACTTCTCAGTCTGTAAATGAGCTGAATTAATCATGAAGGAGCACTGGGATAAATTCCTAAGCCAGCACAGCACTTTGAATGCATCATATCGTTGATAGTGCTGACATGCTAAAGACTTCAATATCTTAATTCAAAGCAAATAACTGGTTTTATGGATATCTCTTGTGTCTACTTCCCACCCTCTTCCAATGGAATGAACTGGGAAGGCTCTGGCTAGTCACCTGGATAAGTCTGCACGCCTGGAATCACAAGTGAAACAGCTAATACAGATGGCAAACCAGCAGCAAAGTAAATTAGACCTGCGGCCCCTGTTTGACACAATTGAAAACATGAAACAGAAGATTGCCCTGATGGAGACATACGACCAGCGTATGGGTATGTTGGCACTTTCCTGCACAGGTAGGGGAGGTTTGCTGATTTTCTGGTGGCTAAGTGGAGGCTCTGGTGCTACACCCAATCATTTGGAGCTCTTTACTAGAAAGGGCTTTCTTCTTGCATTCTGAGACCAAACTGTGATGGTGTGTACGGTGTTCTCCCGCCTTTCCCTACTGCACAATGTCTCCTGAACTCCAGTGGCACTCCAGGGCCACAGAGCTGGCCTTGGTTTGGCTCCTGCACTGTGATAGAGGCTGTGGCACTGTTCAGGCATTCATGATTTATAGTTGCCAGCTTTTCTTATTGAACCACTAGCTGCAGTTACAGTTTTAAAAAGTTAACAGTTCATAGTCTGTACTCAGGCTTGGGTAGATCAGTTTTGCCAGCTTGAGTCTGGGTTCTTGCTTTATCCAGGGCTCTGATAACTTTATTTTACCAAATGCCTCTCTCTTTTTTTTTTTTATTCTATTTCTTTTCTTTGCCTCCTCTCTCAGTTGTTTTGGAAGATCAGTCCAGCAAACATGATCTCCAGATCAATATTCACAAAGCACAGCTCAATAAAAATGAAGAACGATTTAAGCTTTTGGAAGGCACGTGCTACAATGGGAAGTTAATCTGGAAAATCACAGACTACAAGATGAAGAAGAAAGAGGCAGTGGAGGGCCGTGTGCTGTCCATAGCCAGCCAGCCCTTCTACACCAGCCGCTGTGGGTACAGGTTGTGTGCGAGAGCCTACCTGAACGGGGACGGCTCAGGGAAGGGAACGCACATCTCCCTCTACTTTGTGGTCATGAGAGGCGAGTTTGACTCACTACTGCTGTGGCCTTTCAAGCAGAAGGTTACACTTATGCTTTTGGACCAAAGTGGGAAAAAAAATCACATTGTGGAAGTCTTTAGAGCTGACCCCAACAGCAGCAGTTTCAAAAGGCCAGATGGAGAAATGAATATTGCCTCCGGCTGTCCGCGCTTTGTGCCACACGCCATCCTGGAAAACACAAAGAACACCTACATCAGAGATGACACTCTCTTTTTGAAAGTGGTCGTGGATCTAACTGACCTGGAGGAACTGTGAAAAGCGTGCCCAATCAGTCTGACCACTGTAAGCATGAGGAACTGCTTTTGTGGTGAACACCAGCCATGCAATAGCAAACTGCCACCAGTCAAGCTACTTGAGAACATTTCATGGCTTTGGACTACCCGACAGATAATGAATTGCCAATCAGCCTTTCCTTTTCTACCCTTTTTTTTCAAGACTGCATTTTTAAGACAGTTAGGAGTCCGGGCTGGTGCAAGCATGCATTCGATCCAGATTGGTTCAGTCCAGGCTGGGGGGAATGCTTGGCTCCCATCACCAGACTGGTGTTTGGAAATTAACCTCCTTCAGTAAACTCCCTGGAGCCCAGGCAGGCCTGTGGGCTCCTCTCCCTCACACAGAAGTGAAGCCATGCCCAAACATGCAAGTGCATTTCATCTGTCTGCAATGGAAACATTTTGACATTAGCAAATTTGAGTCAATGTGTCTTGATCCCTCCATCTCTTGGATTTTTGAAGCAGGGAGAAAGGCTTAAGTTAGGCAGAGAAAACATTTGCCAAGTATCTTGCATCTTTTTTATTTGTTTGAATGGTGTTCTTCCAGAAAGCCCAGAGGAAGGAGCCAATGCCTCTTACTTTTTTATCCTGTTTTTTCAGCTGTACAGAGTACTCCCAGGTCACAACAGCTTTCTTGTGTCCTTTCCATTCCTGCCTAGTGCCTTGGGACTGGTTTCCATTGGTGGTAAACATCCACAGTCCCCATCTGAAGCCAAAAGCTGCAGGTGCTTCTCACCTCTCAGGGCGTGGCCAGAGGCAGGGCACTCGGCCAGCCTGCCAGCTCCTGGCTGCGCTGCTGGAAGAGCAGCAAAACTCCTTTTGCTGCCACATCTGTGAAAAAGAGATGTTTTCTGGCCTTACCAGCTCTAAAAAAGGCAGGAAGAGCTTGGGGAATAGCTCACGTAACATGCACTTTTCCTCTCTCCTAGAAGTTTGGCGAAGAAGGGGGAAAATGGATTAGGGAGTGAGGTTGCTGTAAGAACCCAATTTTTACAATCAATGCAGCTTTAGTGTTTGTTAAAGGATGACACAGCTGCTGACTGTGATGTCTGAAGATCTTAATTTTTATTCCAAGTTTCTTCCATACTGCAAGGGAATGTGTGCATTGTACAGGGCTTATTTGGGACACGCAAAAACCACCAAGATCAGGCACTGAGGAACAAGTGACACAGAACACTTTTAAATTTTTAAAGCCCTTTGGGTGCCTGTAAGAGGGATGTAGCTTTGCATACTCAGTCATTTTGTTACTACAAGTGGAAGAATTTTGTGTCTCTCATCTCTGACAGGTCAGGTAGGGAAACACCATGGCATTATCCATTGCACCAAAGCTTATCAAGAGACAGCAAGAAACTAAGCTGGTTTTAGAGTAAGAGTAAACTAGGCAGGATAAAAATCAAAACAGGGCACGGACTGAAAGGCATAAATAGAAAATTCTGGAGGGCAAATGTGGCAAATTGGAAGATGCCCTTCCTGTGCAGGATGTTGATAACAATCTAAATAATTCAAGGACTGATACCAAAACGAAGGCAAAATACTTTATTTTGTATCTGCAATCTTATGGCTAGACATTTACTTTTCCACATGGTTTTCAGGACATAATTCAGACACATGTATTTTCTAACTCAGGTGGAGGGGAAGAGACTTTAGTAATCTGTACCTCATGGTGGGTTAGCACATGTGAAATCTTTGTTTTCATCTAGAAGTCCTTTTTGGTTCACAATGTCAAGATTTACAGAGCCACCATCAGAGCTGCTTTCCGTGTTCCCAGGGACAGATTGTGAGGAACAAATTTTATTCTTGTGTACCACAACCATTAACCTCCAGGGTCATTTCAGCTGTAAAACAGAACAAACTAGATGTAACACTTGGTTACAGAAAGAGCAGGCTTGTTTTGACAGGGGCGTGCCATTCTGTGACATCAACCATGAGCCTGGATTTCATGTTGATTTTTACTCTAATATTTGTCATGTAACTTTCAAAGTGACACAACTTGCATAATAACCAGTAATAACTGATGGGAATGTACCATCCATGTGTCCTGGAGCTCTCCAGTACATTGAGTGTTAAATACAGAAAGTGATAAAGAGCTCAGACAAGCAAAGAAGGCAAGATGAAACGGATGTGTGTGGTCTGTATCCTGGCAAATTCCCAGCCCTCTCCACCTCCACCACCCCAAATGTAAAATGGGGATAATAATACTTGCAGAAGCATTAGGGCTATTTAAATGTTTGTGAAGAAGTTTGAGCATGAAAAGAGCTAAGTATTATTAAAACTCCATTTCTAATTGTTAGAATAGGTGATGGCATAGTGATGTGGGTAAGTGTTTAGTGTTTTCCTAGACAGATTTTGGAAGCATGTTTGATTTTAGGCAGTTCATACTGCAGTCTCTCCTCTACCTACTGGTTGGGTTTAGGTTTTCGCCATAAATATTCCTTTTAAAATTCTGAAGCACAAATTCATCCTGGGTGATGGAAACATCCCTTTTGAAATACTGCCTGTTTTATATAGAATTAGTTGAGAAAATTAATTTTTTTAAAGACAACCCTCTTTAAATTGGTTCTTTTTAGTACAGAAATTAAGAGATTTATGTTAAAATTTTCAGTGATTTTTTTACTACTTGTAAACAGGGTTTTAAATTTCATCCCATTTCTAATAAAGAAAAACATGTTGTATAGCATGAATTGTTAGGAAGACTTTTGATGTTGCATGAAGAATACCAAAAAACTTTTCAATAATACTGTACTGAGTAAGTAACCAAAACAGCGTAGGGTATTTCTACATCAGCATACCATATGTTTCTAATGTATTTATTGATAGTTTGTAGTTGTTTGAATAGCTCCTACTACAACAGAGGCATTTTTGTAGCCAAATGTCTTTACTGTGTACATAAACTAATGTAAGAATAAATAATTTTATCATCCTTCTGGAGGGACTCTGGCCTATATTCCTTTTGGCTGGATTGAAGCAGACTTGAATACTGGGTATTTATTTACACTAATTTTAAACAACACAACACCAAAAAAAACAACAAACCAACACTGCTTTAGATTAGGAATCAGTGTACTTCTTGGGTGTTTTGGTTTGCACTTGGATATCGCAGAGCAGCCGCACACGCAAGTTCAGTAAATCCTGAGTCAGGTCAGGTGAATATCCTGGACGTCTGAGGATGCACTGCCGCGATAATTTGTGGTTTAGGCGGGTTTGGGCTCAGCAGGGGTGGGATTTGTTTCGGTTCAGAGCAGGAACAGGAACTGTTCCAGTATCCCATGACTACAGCGTGCTTAGGAACGCGGTATTTCGCAGCGGGGAAGGCGACGCTCGGCAGGGCAAAGCCCAGCGTGTCGCAAGGCGCTGAGGGGGCCGTGTGTCGGGGCCGTGTGTGTGTCCGGGCCGTGTGTCGGGGCCGTGTGTCTCCGGCTGCCGTGAGGGAGGGCCGGAAGCGGCGGCGGGCAGCCCCAGCCCTTCCGGGTCGCGGGCGGTGCCGGGCGAGGGGCGGCGGAGCCGGGGCGGCCGCGGCCCCAGCGCGGGTGGGTCGGGGTCCCTGGGCCGGCCGGGGAAGGGTGGACCGGGCTGGGCCGGGCCGGGCCTGGCCGTGGGCGGGATCCGTGGTCCAGCGACAGCCCGACACGTCGGTGTGGGTGAAACCCCCCTGGCGTGTGCGCTAGCGGCACCCAAACGCGGGTCTGGCCTCCGGTTCCTGGTGCAGAGGGATGAGGCTGGAGGTGCTCTCCCTCCGCAGTGTGGTGCAGTGTCATGGGGGGGGGATGTGATCCTGTGCCGTGTGCTCCGGGATGACCGTGCTGGAACAGGGAGGTTGGAGCAGGTGACCTTCTGTGGCCCCTCTGTGGCCCTTTCCAACCTGAACCACCCTGTGGTTCCTCAGGCCTGCTGGCTCTTTTCCTCTGTTTCTGAACTTCCGTGCCCTCCCTCCCTCCCAGAGTATTTTGTAAATGATGTCATTTAATGTCCTTTTGATTCTGACTAGATATGGATAACAGGAAGGATGAAAAAAGTAGGACGCTGTGTGCAACCTCAGAAGAAGGGCTGAAAGCCCGAGGTAGGTGCTGTGATCTGTTGCTGTTCTGTGGTGTTTGTGTCACCCTCTGTGCCACTTAACCAGGCTCGGTCACTCGCTGATGGCAGTAGACCATGGCGCACTGGAAGAGCAGGCAAAAGCACAACCAACCCCTCAAAACAGGGGTTCATTGTCTTTAAATTCTAGTAAGAGTAATTTCTGTAGGCCACAATTACTAGCAGGCTTGTCACTGTTGCCTTGTGTTGCCCTAAGGAAAAGAAAAAAGGAAACGAAAGCGTAGCAGAAGCAGATCCTCATCTGTTTCATCCACATCGTCTTCTAGCAGTACATCCACTTCTTCCTCCTCATCACACTCATCGTCAAGGTCATCTTCCAGTAGTAGTAGAGGTAAGCTACTCCACGTTTTCCAGTTTTGATAGCACTCCTGAGAGCATTTAAAGCTTGTTTTAAAAGTGGCAAAGCCACCACAAAGTGACAGCGCAGAATACCAGTGCTGCTTGTTCAGGGTGTTTCTCTCATAACTCTTTCCGACTGTGTGTAAAGGTGCCACTTCATTCACAGTGCAATGTTCTTGTGTTAATTTGAATTACTTGAAATTTGAATTACTTGCCATTCAAATGAATGTTACATGGTAACAATGTGCTCTATATATTTAAGCCCCTCTATTTGTTACATATTCAAAACACAGATCTTTTTTTGCTTCACCAGTCTATCTAGACCAGAGTTGTGGATTTGATTTAGCCCTACTTTGGTCTTAACGTTTCAAGCATTTAACTTTGAGGATTCACGTGAAGCTGGCACATCTGCAGAATCAGTAAATCAGTTATTTTCAGTTTCCATGTTAGTCCAGTAAGTGACAGTAATTTAATGTGTTCTCTTTCTCAGGGTTAGTTCAACCTGTGTCAGTATATATAGCTGAACTAAAGTATTTTCTTCATATGCTTCACATTTCTCTGTGTCTTATCTGTAAAACAAATTACTTTTTCAGAATGCTAAACTTACAGGGCTCTATTTTGTTTATTTTTTTCCTTGATTTTAGATTCTCCTAAGTCTAAGTCAAAGAAGAAGAAAAAAGAAAAGCACAACAAAAAGGTAAAAGTTTACAAAGAGAAATAAGTAGTTAAAAACCAAAATCATTCTTTATATTTCAATGACCTTAAATGTCATGGAAGACAATACTTTGTGACTGTGTAAATCTAAATCATGCTTGTAGGGTGGTGGTAGCTGAACTGATAAATGAGCACTTGACATTATACAAAAAGGGAAATAATTTGCCAGTCATTGCTGGTCCAGCTGGAGTTTAGAGTAGTCTCTGAAGAAAAGAGAAGTGGGGAATCTTGATAACTTTATAGAATTTGTCAGAAGAAATTATTTGTAGTCAGTACGAGAAGCAAGTGGTAAATTCTTGCTGTTGTAATTTTTCTATTCCATTTTCCATTCCATTTATTTTATATATTGGGGTTACTTCAAAAGACAGAGAATGGGGAATCAGACCTTTTCTGTTCCTTGGAGTCCCAAGGGTGCTCTGGTGCATTACTTTCTGCTAGTTGTCCAGCAGTGGTAATAGCAAACAGTAGTGGCTCTTTTGACTTGAGTGGCCTTGAGAGATCCTTGTGGGTGTGGGGTTTTTTGCCCCTGTTAGTCTGTAAGCATAACAGCATATGTCTTATTATTGTAGAAAAGGAAAAAGGAGAACAAAATGAAGAAAAAGAAAGAAAAGAAGAAAAGGAAAGAGAAAACAGGACCTGTCCAGCTTTCCAAGGTATGCTGGTCTGACTGTGAAGCCCTGTTTTATTTCTCACCTACATACTTAATCTGTCCTGTCATAGAAATGTTTATGATGTCACCAGTTTGGTCATCAACCAGTAGAAACCTCCTTCTGTTGTTGTGGACAGTTAGGAAGTATAAAAGATGATTGTCTTTAATTTTGCATAAGATTTGTAATGGTACATAACAAAGCTTATGTCTTTTTAACATGTGATCTCATTTCAGTTCTTCAAAAACAAAAAGAAGAATGAAAACTACAGCATGATAACTGGAAAGAAAATTAAGATGAAAATAAAGAAGACTAAGGAAGATATAGAGGTAAGAAATAAGTAGTCTAAATGTCCCTAAGAAAAAATACTGTATCTT